TAAGGCTCTGTATGCTAACTCCCTTGGCCGCGTGAAGGCCTATGGGAAGCTCTAGCATGAGTTCACCACATCAAGTGATATCAGGCAATGTCGTCCTCTTTCACCTCTCGATTTCAACTTCATATGGAAGACTCACTACCGGCCCCCAATACCTGTGGGTTCCAAATTCCCCCATGGTATTCGCTCAGATGACATGGCTGTTCTTGAATCTGATGCCACTGTAAGGCAGACAATATTAAATAGTCCAAAAGATGCTGCCCCACGGTTTTGCATGCGCTTTACACTTGCAGTGTTAAGTGCTGCTAGAAGTCTGGGTGGGCTCAAACTTCAGCCTTATGCTTGCGGATGATTCGATTTACGTAGTAGACAAACTTATCTTCCTTCGCAGCTGTATTAGTCTCGTTGCTCTCGCGAAGATGATATTTCCATCCGGATTGAGGAGGCTAGAGCAGCTTTCGCTAACCTGCATCACTTGTGGCGTAGGCGTGACATCAGCTTGTCCATCAAGGGTCGAGTTTACAATAATAATTGGATGCGCTCCATATGATTATGTGGGTCATAATTTTGGCTGCTGTGTGACATGGACGTGAAAACACTTTCAGCGTTTGAACTTGGTTGTCTTGGGTGCATTGCCCGAGTCTGATAGGAACATCAGATGAGTGGTATCGGTGAGAACAAGCAAGCATCCAAACTAAAACAGTGATTGGGTAAAACCATTGGCATGGGTGTTGACACGAAGTCAGTCACGTGCATACTCCCTTTTACACCCCTGTTTGTGATCTCATGCATTTGTTGAAAATCGCAGCTTATTTTGATGTGGCTGGTTCAGCTGTATTGTCTAGTATCCCTGATGTTATGGAACAGCCACATTTAAGTCAACCAACCCATACTTCACCGTCTTGGACTCTATGTTCTGTCAGCCTTGTCATTTAGATCGCTTACTTTTATTCTTTGTGTTAGTACGTGGAACACTTGTGTGACCGCATAACCAAGATGTGATATGGCAATCTTTGGANACCCCTAATTTGAGTGGTATTTTCCTAACCCGACAATTTAAATGCAGCTACCACAGTCAGCTATGTAACCTCTGTTCAGTATGTGCTTTCCTGTTCAGTGCACATCAGCAAAACTACCTGGTTGTGCACCACTGCCTGCTGCTCTGATTTTGCTAGTTGGGGCATCCTAACTGTGCTCCAGTGAACCGGCATACTATCTATATGCACTTATGCGCGCATTTGTGTGAGGAGCTGGTGATCAGCATGAGTGCCCCAGTTTAGTTTTTCAGTTTCAGGCACACCATATTTTGATAGTTTTTGTGTGCTTGCATCTTATTTTCTATCTGAGTAACGTAAACAACTTATCAGCTATACACACCTTCATTTTCAAGGGTTGCCCTCTAAGAGCACAGCACATTCCGTCCCCATATACCATACCAACTTCTGCTGTGTTCAGTAGTAATTCAATGCGTTCTATAGAAATCCTTGCTATGGTTACGCAAAGGCACTTTGGGCTGTTATGTGTCAAGTTGAGCAGATATACGTCCCATGCGCATGGCTTTCTTCGCTCAGTGAGTTTCCTTCGCTTAGTTGGTAGGTCACTTTGTTTTCCTTGAACTAGGGTTGTGTTTAGACAGTGACGATCGATAATTTGTAGAGGATAATGTGAACTTATTGGCGGTGGTATTCCAAGTACCATCGGGTTCTCATCCGAGTCCACAAGCTCACTGGTTAAAGACTTTGCCAGCGAGTAGCTGTATGCGGTAACCCCCTCAACGAGTCCTCCTTCCTAAAAGGTCACTACTTTTCCTTACATCTGAAGGGGGACGCTCCCAACCCCTCTGGGAGTTCACGAATTGGGTTACCAGGGAGTGGTTTTGTCCCACAGGAAGGACTAAAAACTGATCGTCTAGGAAATGTAGACATCAGATTTCAAGGTACGCGTAGCGATTCTGAACAATGGTTCGGGTCAAGTCATTGGCTTTCAAATTGCCGTAGACTTGGCTACCTACCCGCACAGTCGTTCGCCATCCAAAACTATGAACAAGGTTTTCCTTTTTTCAGTTATAAACCCCAAACCAGAATTTCTCTTCTCCGGTCGATCTGTCTGTACGTTATATGGTTGTTGCATACGATAGTCTACTCACACACCAGCAGTGACCTGTCAGTTGCCATCAGCCAACTTAAACATGATGTTACTGGCCCTAATTACTATTTCGCCATCGAAGTATTAGGTTCATTTCTCAAAATCTTTGATTGCCTGCACATTACTACACCCCATTATTTGACCTTAAGGGATAGGTTGACGGTATTCCATGATCTATGTGTAGTTAATGATGTCCACCTGCGTATCGCGATGCTATCAGGAATGGAAACTGAAACAATTTTGCCTCTTTTCTAGTGTTATACGTGTGGCGGATGGGCCGATGCGTACTTTTTTTAGATCGTCAGGCATACCCTACAAGTGTGTACATCGATTTGTAGCGCGATTTCACCTGGTCGAGGTTGCACAATGAAGACTGAACCCCTTCCAAATAGCTCGCTTCTTTTAGTTATGGAGGCGCATCACGTTTCAAGGCCTATGTGAACAACCGTTCCTTGGGGGTCTGTCGAGGTCGAGGTCTAAAATTGGAGTTACAGTTTTCCACGCCTTTATGTGTTGAATGCGGGATTCCAGGCGTCCTCAATTTCGAACTTAATTCTTCAGCTGGTCTTGAAGATATAAAACAGCCTTTTCCCGTAACGAACTTGCTGAAATAGAACAGTGCAATTTTGTACGATATCCTGGATTGATCGAATGGTTTGAGTAGATTTAAAAGGAAGAATAATCTTGTCAAAGGCTTGCCGTGCAGTTTGCCACGGTAGTGCAAAACTGTTTCTGCTTCCTCAGATACCACTTCCATTTACGAATAGCGCTGGTATCAGAAAACTTCAGAACGGTGCTGTTTGCTGTGAACACGATATAAAACTCACTTACTGGGTTGATTGAATGTTTGCTCCGAGATACTCATACAAGACCTTTTTTCCGTCGTGCACCTCAAGCTGCTTAGGACGAGTTCAGATGGCCCCCCTATGTTGCCATGTAGAGTAAAATCGAACAAAATCTTCCGGCGAGCGCCACCCACAGTTTCCTCTTTGCATCCGTGCGTCTTCGTCAAAGTTGACTGACGTGAATCGATTGAAATATCAATGTCAGCGCCATTTCATGTAGCACCTATATGGTTTTTAAAATTGCTGGTTTTAGCTGCCTCGTCGAGGTCTCTATGACGTTGGCACTGCAAGTCACGTTTTGCATTGGTTTTTGTGCAGTTGTGGGTAGCAGACTGTATAGAAACCGTGACCCAAGAGGTGGTCAATAAGCCAACTAGCTTTGATGCTTCAAGTCGGCTGACCCTACTTATGCGGGTGTTCTTTCTGTCGTTATGGTCGCCCTCATATTACGTGCAAATTCTCTTCCATTGCTAACTTAAGCTACTCACAGAAGAGCAAGGAACCCGCAGTCGTGGACTTCCTTTGTGAAGGTTATAAGAAAACAGAATGCACAATACGAGGAAATGGAAACATTCGAAACATGAAAGTAGGCACACGAGTCGTAGAGTTAGGAGGATTTGGAGAAGTAAACTTCGACCCGAAACTTGGATAACCAATGGAATTGGGGAAACCCGGAGAAGGAAGAATTCTTCAGTATTCAATGGCTTCGGGGGAAGAAAAAAGTTTAATAGCTCTGTGCGGTAACAGGAGAACGAGCCAAACCTGGGTGACCACAAGCAAGGGGGTTAGGCTAAACGGGTGAATGATTTTGGAAGTGGAACGGATGAATTGGGTTCTGGAAAACGTGTACCACAACAGAAAGTCTTGAATTTGACTTCAAAACAGGTGGTTGTGGGTCGTTGATCAATGTTGGAGAAGCACATTCATACAGGTTTTTGGGCAGCGACATTCAAAGGCAAGAAACACTACAGCACCTCAGATCTGATAGCAGTATTCCACGGTATGAACGGATGTGAAATTTGTGAGCGAGTAGCAGTTTGAACGGAGAGAAGAATGTTCGTGAGCGGAATAGAAGAACTTTCTGGGAGCCCGAATTGCAGCTAATTTGACGTGAAATGCTCACAAAAGCGATTAACCAAGGAGTGAATGCATCAGGGACTATGGACTGGTGTTGCAGTTTACTACGAGAGTGAGTTTGCATGTGGACAGATGAAGGGACATGAAGACCTATTAGGGATTGGAAGGACTGGAAGTAGGCTAACTCCACTTAGTGCTTATTGTGCTCGTTGTCTGCAAGTGATGGTCGCAAATCTGAGATGAGTCGGTTTGCTGCGAATAGAGGGTATATATGTGGAGGGTAGCTTCATTTACTAAGAGATGGTTGGAGCTAGAACTTACGTTTTTTTGGAAATGCCCCGTGCAACTGATGATCCGAGGATGCAGGGTGGAAACGTATAGTTCAGTGAGAAAGCACACTTGCCACAATCGATCGAAAGCATTAGGGACGCTGATGAGACACACTGGTTCATCCTCACCCGCAAGAGTCTAAGACTGTTGACCGAACGTGAGGAGCATAATTAATGGGTCAATGGTGGAGCGCTGCAACCTATGTAAGTGGTTGCTCAAGAGGACACTGCTTGACAGGTAGTCATGAGTTTTTTGACACAAAGCATGTAATAGAAATAAGTTAGCTGTTGCTCGTGTCTGGAAGGGATGTTCGCCTAATTACTTAGAGTCCAAAAGCCCATGTGGTATGCATTAGTGGTTCTATTGATGGCCGTGTTTGGAAGGAAAAGTGAGAACAAAGCCATTCTCAGACCATTTTTTCAAAACCCAAAAGCGTACCAGATAGGTCACTGAGGAACACATTTCCTCTCGTCTATTTCTGCAAGCATCTAAATGATCGGAAAGTGCTTAAAGAATTGCAGTCGAATTCCACTGTTTACGAAGGATATTGGATATAACCCGTATTTGATTTAACTGTTTGTAAACTTTACCGTTTTCACGTTATAGGTGCAGATAACATGTTGTTTATCTGGAACGTTGCTACTGAGGAACCGTTGGTAGAAATTATGCTTCCTGATATGGTCTTGTCCGTATCCTTCAATTACAATGGTTCGCGCCTGGTCACCACATGCAAGGACCGACATACACGCGTGTTGAATCCGCGAACCGGTGAAGTGCTTTTGGTAAGTCGCAAAACGAAGTGAGAACCAAGCCAGCATGTTTAGTAATTCGCCTCCCCCGCTATACTCCTCTAGTTCAACCAGAAACAGATCTTTTTGTTGCGTTTCTAGCATATCATGCCCCCACATGACTGTTTTGGGGTTTCTGAGAGTGCGGGAGTCACTGTTACGAAGATTTCCACCGTGCCACCGTCGTTCACTGATTTTCGTAGCACTCTTCAGGGGAGTCCACAGCAAACAATCCTTCCCAGACTTCTATGAGGTTTCCTGTCCTCATCCTTATGCTTCTCAGAAGTTCAGCGTTCGGAGAAGCGATTTCCGCTCCACATAAATCCTGCAAAAGATCACACTGGCTAGGTTACACTTCTGAAAGAAACTACATCGAAGTGATAATTGACGCAGTCATAGCTTCTAAATCCACGAATTGATCAGCTTCAAATCAAATCTTGAATTTGGAATCTTATCGTTACCAATCGAGCTTGAACTTTTCCTTAGGCTGTATAGAAACCATTTTTGAACAGCATAAAAATAAAATATGCCGGAGGGGCTCTGAATTAGGGCGCCGTTAGCCGCACCTGACATCCTGTGAGAACCTCACCCAAGACGAGTACAGGGCAAAACGATAGACAAATGCCATCTTTGCAGTCCAACTAGGAAGTAACAGCGTGCTCGCCACGGGGATCGATTGCGTGAGTGATCTCCAGATGATCTGTACAGTCAAGGAAATTCCCATGGACCCCAGTCCTGAAAGCATGAAGGTCCCATACTACTTCGCCATGTTTCTCCGAGCTTTCGTTGAAGAGAGTTTCGAATATAAAGCGGTATTCTGTGGCAAACGTTGATTAATCGTGCGCAGTACTTTTCCTAACCACCATAAACTGATAGACCTTACTTATCGCTGTGGTGATTAAAATTCGTCACCAACTACTGGCTTGCGCTCGAGTTCGTCGCGCGACACTGTGTTCACGTAACTCCTGCTGTGATGAGGAGGTACCGAGAATCAGAATTTTCCGCTGAAATTACCAGTTAGTAATCTCTCAAATCAATACAGATCCCACGTGCACTCTTTTATTTTACTGTGTTATGGCTATTTCCCTTAGTCCATATGTCCTGGACGGATGAGTAAAGCTTGTATTGCCATGTGATCTCTGTACCACGTAAATCAAAAAAGGAAGTCAGTTTTCGAATGCAAGTTATCGTTGAGGTGTTTCCTTTGATGATCATGCGGGAATCTGTGGGTTTTGTCATCGCTCGACACGGGCATAGGATGACAAAATTGCTCGTCTCGAGTTGGAGCTAGGTATGAGTGACGATTCTGATGACAGTGTTTTAAAGAATCTAGGAACAAAGAAATGACGTTAACAGGCGCCTTTCAGACCGCTGGGTAATTGAACCAGATAGCTTCAAAGTCATTACGCCCACTTACCGAATCCAAATGTGGATCGAAGCACTCGCGCGTTGTTTTTTCGAGATCTGACTAAATCCAAACACTCGGAGATTTTCCGTGTCCCCACCTTGGTTGTTATCAGATCCTGTCTGAGGATCGATTGTTAATCAGGGAAAAAATCCATCTGTTTTCCAGTAGGTGGATGATTTCACGTATATGCCAACAGCTAGTTCAAGAATCGTACCTACTACTGAAACCTCTAATATAACGAATGTTCACTATTTATACCGGGTGAAGAAAACTACTGTTGAAAATTTTATCCACTGAATAACTTATAGGATTGCTCACGATTTGTGCAATCTTTTCACATTCTGGCACACTGAATTTGGATTTCGTAGGTTACGTCGAAGTGTACCTCCGTATAAATTGAAGACCCCCTTTGAACTTCTTGTTGTTTAGAATCTGGTTGATTGTTTTCCTACTTGGGTCTTTTGGGAAATGGCATCCAGTGGAGTTGTTTTCAGATTTATCTTCGTATGCGAAACTTACACGTTCACTGAAAACACCATTTTCGTGGTTTTACATAAGTAATTCTTCATTGCAGTTATCCGTATTAGCTGTGGTTTATTACAGATGCTTCTACCTCTCACGCGGTGTCCTCGTCTAACTCTCCTGATTAAATCACTGCTTTCAGGAGGGCATCTGTCATCAAGGCTCCAAACCCCAGCAGGCCGTCTACCTCAAGGATGACAGGATTTTCACCACTGGGTTCTCTCCAATGAGCGAACGGCAGTATGCGTTGTGGAAGGGTGTAAGTATTCTGACGTACCTTTTTGCTACACATACAGCAAACTTCGATTAGTAAAGCCCTCATCTAGTTGCCCAGTGATGACTGAATGATGAGCACATTGTGGAGCGCTGTCAAACACATATACGCCCATCACCTCGTTGCCATGGGTCCGGTACCTGTTTCGTGACAGTCTGTATGACACATTAAAATGTCCAATGCCCGATTGTATGATCCTCTTCCAGAAAGCCAGAGATATGCAGAGTGGAACCTCGGAAATTAATATATTCCTGTAATATTCACAACCTTTGATGTGGACCGCCTCGTGCCGTTCTTCCACTTCTTAAAAAAACGTTTTCGATCCGTAAGCTTTCGCCGACATAGTTGTTTTCCGAAAAGAACCGCATCGCATGCCTTCTCACTGGGTTTATGAAATTTCCTCTGTTCACAACAATGTTCGTCAACGTGGGATGAATTTTTCTATTTTGTGGACGCTCCAATACCCCCTGCATATCCGTGACTCATGCATACTAATGCAACATGATGAACATGCACAATGATCGTCAGCCCTCCTTACCTACGTCATTAGGAACTGATGTTTCTTCATTTGTCCAAGTGTGAATAAAACCACTGGACACGATGAGTCATCATGAAGACGCATACAACGTATAAGAATGCAGATAATGGTTGCTGCCAACTTGGAAAATATTACGTAATGATGTCTTGCTTCGTTCTTTCCTTAACCCTTGTTACTTCCAGTCGCTATTTCAACTGGGGCTTAGTCAAATTAAAAATATTCCACTAACGCGGCAGGTTGGTACCATTTGTGCCTATGACAAATGCTGCAGCACGAACCAAACCAAGTACCACTAACATTAGTCATCTACGTCGAAGATAAACGGACCGTTTGTGGAATCAGAAAGTGTCTAGTCTGTGTTTCCCGGGGCTTGTTTCCTCGAGGGAGACTCGCAATGGAGAAAACTGTGCCTTCCCAAGTTTCTCTTCGCGATAGAGTTATTTGTTAGAAGAAGTGCTGTATTCAGCCACTGAGAAAAACTTCACTTCTTCACCAATGGGTACCGAATATTTTTGATCCTGCTAGTCTCCAAAGGGGTCCACCTGACCGAACAAAGAGACGCCCATCCAGCTTGACAGAACAGGATGTTCGAAAGTCAGACTTAGTTTTTTGTTGTTGAGCCCTACTAGTTCTCATTAGTAGCACTGATTAGTGTGTTTGAAAAAAGTTACGGACAGGTACTAGCTTATCAGTCTGTCGATAGTTTCTGGAGATTGCAGGCTCATGACTGCTAGGTTTTAGTTGTCTTCCACTGTGGGCTGACGAGGTAACTCATTTCTCATACAACACCACGGATGGGCATACCGCGGTGATTTCCCAAGGATTTATGTTTAACTTAATTCGGTGAGCGTAACTTAGACCGTAGTAGATAGCAGACCCATCATTTGGATTGCTTGTGAGCATTTCGTTTTTTCCACCGATCCCGTTAACTTACACCTCGCATGGTGGTCATACAGATTAGGCGGTTACGCCATATATATTTGGTTAAACTAGATATACGCGTGTTGTCCAGCAAGAGAATTTTTGTTTTATACATATGTGCACTTGAAAGGTTAGAGCTGTGGGTTACCGATGTTAGTTTGTTACCAGATTTGGGCGCTCGTTCATCAAGGCTAGTAATTTCAAGGTGTACTTCTTTGTAATACCCACTGGAGCATTTTGGACATCTTTCTACACTGAACTAAAACTAATTATGATTTCCAGTGATTGTGGCCGTCTCCACTGACGATTCCCCAAGCGTTGATGAATAAGTGCAGCACCTGGAACCGCCTAACCTTTAATCGTGTCTATAGTCAATGACTCGCATCTCAACGCACTCTATGCTGTGCTTGCCTGATAGATGAAGACACAAACTATGTTGGTACTCTATTTCCTCTCGCTTTGTGTATGGGGGTTGCAGATCATTCCGGGCCTTGCTTTTGATACTGCACCGTTCTCTTCGTTTGTTTGTTTCGGGTCATCTTGGTCCTGCTGTGTGGAAATATCCCGCCTTCTGGATTCTCGGTGTGTTGGAAACCTCAAAGTACTCGAAAGCCATGGCGTGCTCAGAGCACTGAGGACTGCTGGCCTCATTCAAGTCCTCCGATCACACTCTATCTCAAGTTAAATTTAGACTCCCAATAAAATGGGAAAACATAATAAAGATGGCTTTGTCTCGCACATAGCTCTCCAATTGTTTGACTCCTATCAGTCGTTTCTGAACTAACATTGATCTCTCTTATACATTGCACCATATCGGACGGTTAAGTGAGATGCGCCTCGAAAAAAAAAGTATCACTTCATGCTAGTGGCTCTAAGTGCTTTTCCATATTTGAACCTGTTGTGTCTCTGCAAGTTGGGAATAACGGAAGTGTGACCGTAATTGTAAATGGCAACCATCCGTTCATCATGGTGTATCTGAATCGTGTGTGAGCTGCACCTTATCACTCATATTACTTCACAACTTGGTGTTTCAGCGGAAATGCATCGTGCTGAGCTTGAAACCGAGGTCCACTTCTTATTTTCTTCTGAATTACGACTAATGCGCTGGATCACAATGCAAGTCCTCTTCGACAGGACCGAACGCGTTTCCAATTGAGATTTTCCATGGGTCTCAATATGCTCTTGAGTAAATTGTATGGGCATTTACGGAGTGACTTGCAGAACGATGGATCTTTTCATTTATATATTCCGAACTAGCTCTCAGGGCGTTTATGTTACTTACTGATCGATTCCTGCGGCCTAACACACAGGTCCTTTATGGCACACTTGAGTTACGATCCTATCTTCATCTAAGAAACACCTCTGTAACCTCACTCGTCTATTCTGATTCTGGCTGTGTATGTCAATCGAGAGAGGATAAGTTTTTCATCCTTCCAAACTAATACCACCTGTCTGATACGACCGAATCTTCTCAGGCATGTCAACGCTCTAATCGGGGGGGGGGGGGGGGGGGGGGGGGGGGGGGGGGGGGGGGGGGGGGGGGGGGGGGGGGGGGGGGGGGGGGGGGGGGGGGGGGGGGGGGGGGGGGGGGGGGGGGGGGGGGGGGGGGGGGGGGGGGGGGGGGGGGGGGGGGGGGGGGGGGGGGGGGGGGGGGGGGGGGGGGGGGGGGGGGGGGGGGGGGGGGGGGGGGGGGGGGGGGGGGGGGGGGGGGGGGGGGGGGGGGGGGGGGGGGGGGGGNAGGGGGGGGGGGGGGGGGGAGCAGCGTACCATAATTTGGGAGTCATTCAATCAGGACTTTAGCATGCTTTTTTTGTGAACGTTTCAGGATAGTTTGCTAGCAACGCCAGGTGGGGACTTCCACCTTCTCGGCTGCTCCTGGCGTCTTTAGAGAGTGCATCCATTTCAAGTGTTAATGTGTCCGTAGGGCTGCAAAATTTTCACCGCCTGGAAGAAATCATCCACTATAGTCTACTCTTCCATTGTCGCAGGTAATAAACCGTTTTTCGTGGGCGGTGGAAGCGCGTGTTAGTTCTGTCTCGCTTCAAAGCGTTACAGACAGTAGGTGCTTCGTTTCGGTGGCGCGGATGTCTCTACTGCGTGTAATCCACTTAAAAGACAAGCAAATTGGGTTCGATCAATAGGTTTAATAATTATTCATTTCCGACGAGGGCAGAAGCGTGTCCCGACATGTCTGCTTGACTGGGACGGTCGATGGCTACAACTGTCTCTGTCGAAGGGGCATTGATAGGTTTGTTTTTAATCCGGGTATAAGTTTTGGACTAGAGTTTGCTAGACCAAACAGTAGTGTTTTGTGTTTTGGGCTTTCAGATGTGTGGTATTAATCATCGGTTCCTTCTCCGACGTTAGAAACTGTTCAGCCATACGCCTACCGGCGCAGAAAGTGCCTGGCAATTAGGCTGAAATTTATGTGTCGCGCTCTAGAATTACCCTTTTTCTGATTATGAAGGATACGCTTGAACACAAGTCTAGTTTCCTAGTTATATCAGCTCACTGGTGTAACACTGTGTCGCCGCGTCCTGTTCACGGAAGTTGCGTAAACAATATCTTCGTATAGACCGTGATTCCGTCCTTGAAATCAAATGATCATTCAGCTCTAGCACTCCCTTGGTGCCCAGCTGCCACGTCACCCGAGAGAAGCGAGAAGGTTGAAATACTGCCAGGGTATTCGAGCTCTTGTTGGCACTGAAAACACGGAAGGGCAGCGTGCTGGTGTATGCAATAGTACGGGTTGCATGTAATGTCTTTTGCCGTAGTCTCAGCTCGTAAACTGCAGTCACATTCTCCAAAGGCTTACGAGTATTTGTGGCAGAAACCCAGTGTGACCGTGTGTGGAGAATGAGATATGTTGCAGATGCGCGGCATTACAACTGGCAGAAATTTAGGGGATCGTAGCCGATTTTCAACTTCATTCAAAGGCCCTAGTAAAGCACATAACAGATATTGCATTCTGAATGGTGAGTTTTGCGATTTCCGATATCTCTCATGGGACGGTGTGGATATACATGTTGGGCGAGGTCAGTCTCTTTCAGTGATCTCGGTTTTGTTCAGAATCTTTTCCTGCTAAATTGCGGGCCACACAAGACTAGTGCTTTAATGCTCGGTCTGAAATGTTAACGTAAGAATCATCTATGGTGTCTCGCGATTCAGTTTGTCCATGTTGCTTATACCGACGGTGGTCCTCCCAGTGTTTTCGAAACCTAACTTTCCAAGTGGGTGTATAAACATGACTTATCACCCGTAACAGCTGTGCAGTACTCTGCTCTCAATCACTGGCGGATGACCAACTCGAAGTCATGCAAATCCGTAATTCGTGAACAGCTTCTCTACTCATGTCTTCTGCACTGGATAAGGTACGCTATAAATCATGGAATTTAGACCGACGCGTGATACTTGTCCTTTTTTCTGGAAGATTGTATTACTGTTCTGAAACACTTACGCCGTTTTGAAGATACCCTTTTCCACGGTATCGTCGGTGTTAATTCGTAGTGACTCGGTATGGCGCGTC